GGGGTATTTAATGCAATGTATTAGTATCTCTTAGCTTAGGCAGGGTAGTCTAGATGCCGGGCTTGTGACCACTTGGGTTCGAGTCACGGCACGGCACTGTGTTGTATCCTTGAGCAAAATACTTTACTCCCCTTGTTCCAGTCTACTCAGCTGTAAATGAGTACCAGGTTGGGCAATGCTAGAATTGTTGAATGCTAGCTGTGAGCGCCGAAATGGCAGCACCGGCTGAATGCTCCCCAAGGAGTTGAGAAAGATATTGGCTGGTTGCAAAGNCTCGGACAAGTTCGATAACCGCCATTATCCGACCATAATTTGTGGAGTTATGCCCCTTTATGGACTTGCCGAAACAGTGTCCGCTCGATATCTCGAGTAATTATTAACGGATTAACTTCAAACTTCACAACAAGGTTAATTACCATGAAACCTCGGACAAGTTCGATAACCGCCATTATCCGACCATAATTTGTGGAGTTATGCCCCTTTATGGACTTGCCGAAACAGTGTCCGCTCGATATCTCGAGTAATTATTAACGGATTATCTTCAAACTTCACAACAAGGTTAATGACCATGAAACCACGGACATGTTCGATAACCGCCATTATCTGACCGTAATTACTGGAGTTATTACCCTTGGTTTCATTAATGCGATGCATGCGTTCCATGATGTTGTATTGCACTCATTGATCTACCAGTTATGTTGAATGATTTCTCTTTTAATATCAATTACTCACAAATACTTCATATATTTCAATCATACAAACAACTGCTCATTCAATGTGTGACGGGCGTATTATATACCGCTCGCGGTAACCTTGTTTATACAGTTATGGCCCTTTGCAGAAAAATTCTTGTCCTGATAACTTTTCCTAATCTACTGGGCCAATTTCATTTATTTTTTTAAATATGATAACTGCCCACCGACGTGTGCATCCAAGTACATTTTCATTCCAACCCCTTTAAAAGGAGTTATGGGCCTTTGTTGAATATCTTTGTCCTGACATCTTTTCCTTAACTAATGGGACAATATTAGCAAAACTGGTTCATCTGGGCTAACAACATTTGGTATGTAAGTTTGTATTGGCATTGGGAGAGAATACAAGAAGTATATCAGTGACCAGTATACTTAAATAAGTGTATGGCTCAGTCAATAAAGAAATCATTACTGGTGGGAGACTATGGATTGCTTTGCAATGCTTTGCCATAGTAAGCCTTTGGCTTACAGTTCTAGTTGATTCACAGTTCTAACAGACTTGGGCACTGCCCTGAAGTGTCGTGATCCTCTGAAAGATACATAAAACAAATCCACTGGATTTTCATTTCAATATTTATTTTACAAATTACCATAAACTGACAACAGGTAACGATATAACAATTTTTGTTTGAAGTGGTCGTTAAGACAGATACATTAGTAACCTCACTTTCGCTACCCAAGGATTTCACTCCACTACGCACAGGAGGGTACACCGAACTGTAACCCTTGGTTACCGAAGACGCAATAACATACACTTCACATGATAGAGAATTCTACAGAAGAACGACGGGAATAAAGGGACAAACGCATACCAATGCAGATGTGTACTTATCAACAAATTACTGTAAATCTTAACAGATCAAGCAACAGATCATTATAACATTAAAGCTACCATATTTATCCTGCAATAAGCCAAGA